CTGGTTTCGTCTGGCCAGAGGAGAACTGGCCCCCCGACTGAGCCTGGTTTCTCCCAAGGTTTTTTCTACATTCTGTCATGTAGCGTTTGGACCAATCAGACTCACCATTTTTCATTAGATTTAACAAATCAGTTATTCATTAGACCTCTGGCTTGCTTAGTTGGGGACACTTAATTTTGACTCTTAACTTTTATAAAGAATATCTCTTTGGATTTGAGACGTTAGTCTTTGCAACTTTACAGATCTTCTTTATGCACCAAGAGCTTGTAACTTGTGGACGCGTCGAGTATAAATCAGCCTTTAGGCTATTGGGTGTTTCTGCAGTGCTGGTATCTGGGTAAACTTGCGACAGCAAGAAGCTTATGTTAAGCTATTGTTTAAGGCCATCAATTATCTTGATATGCTTGCTGCTATGGGTCATCTGGTTATTGGTAATGCTATTTTCTTTAGGTCTGACTACTGCAACATGCCGTGCTTAAGCAAGCTACACACTGTTGCATAAGCGTCAAGAGTATTGGTAAGGATTGTCTACTACACTAATGCGAGTGATGCGAGTCTACTACACTAATGCAGTGACACACCCACTGAGAAACCTGTTGAAAGAGCTTGTGGCGAGGGGGGTGTGAGAATGCGAAGTCTGCAGCAGGAGAACGGGTGTGGAGACGAGCGGTGATAAGGAGGTCAAGCGAAGGATAACTAACAGCTGTCCCTAATTTCAATGATTGGTGGAGAGACGAGATATAAGCGCCCCGCAGACCTGGGACAGGTGGAGAGAGACTGATCACTGGCAGAGACTGTTATTATTTGTGTGTGTATCTTTGTGAAAGACTGGAAGGGCAGAGAGCCCGAAAGCACTTTAATTTGTTCATTTGTTTATCTTTTATGAGTAATAAAAGCTTCACTCACCACCCCTGACTCCCTCGTCCTTCCTCATCATTGAACTGTATCACAGAGCCCTAGTTATTGGCGATTCTATTGTACGGAACATGAAAATAGAGACACCAGCCACCATAGTCCAATGTTTACCGGGAGCCAGAGCGCCTGACATCTTGGCAAATTTAAAAGTGCTGGCTAAGGCTAACCGTAAATACAATCAATCAATCAATTAATCAACATCTATTTATACAGCCCTTTACAACACTCAAGGTGAACCAAAGTGCTTTCCAATAAAAACAGAGCAATAAAAACAAAAATAAAAGCCAACAACAACAAAAATGTCACAATAATTGCTAGATATTAAAAGCCAGTTTAAATAAATAAGTTTTAAGCTTCGGTTTAAAAAGGCCCTGGTCAGTAATGGTGCGTATATCGGCGGGAATCTTATTCTAGAGTCTGGGCCCAGCTACAGAAAAAGCCCGGTCATCCCAGTGCTGGTCCCGTGACCTCGGGACTTCCAGTAAAAGTTGATTTGTTGACATAAGAGCCCTGTTTGGTTGATGAAAAGCCAGCATCTCAGTTACATAAGGTGGGGCAAGGCCATTGAGAGCTTTAAAAACAAACAATAAAATGTTAAAATCAACTCTAAAAGAAACTGGAAGCTAGTGGAGCGAATAAAGAATTGGGGTGATGTGCTCACGTTTGCGTGTCTTAGTTAAAAGACAGGCTGCAGCATTCTGCACCAGCTGAAGGCGCCTGAGGGACGACTGTGAGACACCAACATAAAGTGCATTACAATAATCTAATCTTGAACTGATAACAGCATGAATAGCTTTCTCAAGGTCACAGCGATTCAAAAATGGTTTGACCTTGGCCAAAACACGTAGCTGAAAAAAACTAGCTTTAACCACGCTGTCAATTTATTTATCAAATTTCAGGCTACTATCAAAAGTCACACCGAGATTTCTGACAGTTGTTCTAAGCTTTGAAGTCAGCGCATCAAAGTCAGAAGTTACAGACTCTCCAAATAAAATATATTTGTCTTTTCTTCATTTAGATGAAGGAAATTTTGCTCTAACCATAGTTTAATGTCATAAATGCAATCAATTAGCGACCCAGCTGCGTCAGCATTTTTTGGTCTCATAGGCAAATAAATTTGCAAATCATCAGCATAGCAGTGGAAATCTATATTATGGCTGGCTATAATGGACTCGAGAGGCAGCATGTAAAGTGAAAATAAAACGGGCCCGAGAATAGAGCCTTGTGGCACCCCGCAAGAGAGAGAAGTGGTGGAGGAGGACGAATTCCCAATCACTAGAGAAAAGGTTCTATTGGTCAAATATTGGTACGCCGAATGCCAACAAAGTGATTAAGGCGAGACAGAAGTACTTCATGGTCCACTGTATCAAAGGCCGCCGTGAGATCAAGTAGCACTAGAATAACAGGGCACTTGGCATCAACAAACCGAGCAATATCATTGTGCACCTTTAACAGTGCAGACTCAATCTGAATCCAGACTGGAATTTCTCAAAAACAGAGTTATATTCTAAAAAATAATGTAATTGTATAAAAACAACTTTTTCTAACACTTTTGAAAGAAAGGGCAGGTGGGAAACTGGTCTGAAATTAGACAAGACTGAGGGATCCAGATTTGTTTTTTTAAGAAGAGGCCTAACCACAGCATGTTTGAAAGCAGCAGGGACAGATCCTGAGCTAAGACATATATTAATGAAAGCCAACAGAAAAGGCCCTACAGTGGTAAAAACCTCTTTTAGCAATTTGGTTGGAACAAGGTCCAAGGGGCAATTTGTAATTTTCATATGGTGCACTACTTCATTAAGGAATGATAGTGAGACCGGTTCAAACTGTTCAAACACCACAAAATGTGCTGCAGCGACAGGTAAATCAGTTCCAGAGCTCTTACTCGTGAGCTGTCTGACAGACTCCACTTTATTCATAAAAAAGTGAAGAAAATTCTCACAAGAGGAGACTGAGGCATCAATCAGAGGGCAGGTACGTGGGTTCACAACAGAATTAATTGTGTTAAACATCACCCTGGGACAATGCCCACTATTGGTGATAATATTAGAAAAACATTTCGACTTTGCCTCCACAGCTCTCTGATAATCAGAAAGACAGCCCCTTAATATTTCCAGAGACACATGTAATTTGTCCTTCTTCCATCTCCGCTCTGCCTGTCTACAATGCTGCCTAAGGGCACGGGTGGCATCATTTATCCAGGGATCTGCTCTTAGCTTAGGAGATCTGCGCTTATAAGGGGCAATAGAGTCCAAGATTCTGGAACAAGTGGAGTAAAAAGATGAAAGAAGGCCATGAGGGCATGCAGGAGAGACAGATTCATGGAGGGCACAACGTTTAGAGTCCATAAAAGCAGCAGTAAACTCTTCAGCTGTTGAGGAGGTGAGAACGTGACGTTAACATGGTGAAACAGGAGACCTGCTGGCTGTTGATG